TCCAAAATTAAAGTTATCAATTTCTTTTATTTATTTAAAATATTTGTTTAAATTCAAAAGATAAAAAAATATTTCCATTATAATAATTCATTTTTTTTTATTTTTTATAAATTCAAAGTTCTCAAATATTTTGAATTTTATATTTAACTTTTTTCTTTTTAAATTTAACCCTTGTAATACATTGGCCTCACAACTAATCTGTAATAAATGAATGTTTTTTTGCCACTTGTCACACTCTCATTCAAATTATCAAATATCATTTTGTAGTTATTTTGAATTAATTTTTTTCCACATGTGTTTTTTAATAAATTTCATATAATATTTTAATGTAATCATTCCAACAAATGTAGTAATAAATGAATATCAATTTCATTAATGAACTTACATTTTAATTTCAAAATTCTCAAAATTTAAGCTCATTATTTCTTTTATCCTCTCTAATATATGAAGATTTTTTTTTATCATTTGTCACATTCTCATTCAATTTGTTAAATGTCATTTTATAGTTATTTTGAATTAATTCTTTTTCCATAAGTTATTTTATGAGTTTTATCTTTTTTAATAAATTCCACATAATTTTTAATGTAATAATTGCAATTAATGTAATAATAAATGAATATCAATTTTATTAATGAACTTACATTTTAATTTCAAAATTCTCAAAATTAAAGCTTATTATTTCTTTTATCCTCTCTAATAAATAAAAGTTTTGTGTCACTTATCACAGTCTCATTCAAATTGTCAAGTGTTATTTTGTAGTTATTTAGAATTAATTCTTTTTCCATAAGTCATTTTATGAGTTTTTCTTTTTTAATAAAATCCACATAATTTTTTATGTAATAATTGCAATTAACGTAATTAAAAAATATATTTAGCTCGTTTAATGGTATAAAAAGACACTTTTATACTAGAATCTTAATCATAAATAAAAATAACTTATTTCTTTTGGTAAGTCGTTAATGCATTTATTATGTATGATATGATTGATATCAGATATCGCACGCATGCTTTCTAATTGCGAAGAATTAACATTTATAAATATAATAATATATTCCTTAATTAATGATCAAATATGTAGGGTAACTGTGGAACAAATTTGGCTCTCTAAAAATTATAAATACCTAATTTTATGAAGGATTGCTTCAACTCATTGTTAAACCAAGAGAAATCAATATAAAAAACACAAAAACGTCAATCATGAAGTTTGTTAACAAGTATGTTATCCTTTTAATACTTATCACAATATCAATCTCAACAAAAGCATCAATCGCAACAACAGGTAACTTATACATCAATTTTTTTTTTTCGATTTAGTGTGTTTTTATATCACAAATTGCTTAATTCAGTCATTTGTTTTTTTAGGTGATGGGAATACCAATAGGAAAATGAACATTAAGGTTTGTCACAACTTTTCAACAATGCCAACTGGCTGTCAAGATGGGAAGTGTAATGATTATTGTCGAGACTTAAAGGGGGATTTTACATATGGAAAATGTTCTGATCCTTACACATGTGATTGTCAATATGTTTGTGGTTAAAATACATGGTTTCATTTATAATAGCTTCGTTAAAAATAAAATTGTGTTTGTAATCTACATCTGTAATGCTAAGATCTTTTTTAAAAATTTAACTATTCATTTATAGAGAATGTTATTGCATAAAATATCTAATTTAGTTTTTAAATATTTTATTAAAGACAACTAATTTTAATTTCTTTAATATATTTTTTTTTAAAATAAATTAAATCATCTATGTAGGTGCCTCCTTATTGTTTTGGCTCGGGCCTAAATTTGGGCTGACATTTTTAATTTAGAGTATGTTATTTGCAAGAGCAATAGATAAATATCCCAAATAGGCAGGGATTAAGTTATTGAATAAAAAACGAAAGTTATTATTTAAATTTGATATTAGCGTCAATTATAATGGGCGGGAAGACGATTTGATAAGGTTCTAATGGGGTTTAGAAAAGAGACATGTTGCAACTTAAGGTTTCTTTTATTAAAAGAGAATATATATATATATATATATATATATATATATATATATATATATATATATATATATATATATATATATATATATATATATAGAAAAAGCTAGGTTCAAATGTTTTTAATAAAAATTGTGTACATATATACATCAATAAGAAATGAGCAAATTAAATAATTAATTAAATCAAAAAGGGTATTTCTGTTTTTTTGCATTTTTAATTAATGGGATCATTTAATAAAATTCTTGCAATTAAGGAAACAAAATAAATAGGTTTGACCTCTCTTTTTTATCTCACGTTTAGTTCTTCTTCTTCACCTACAAAAGAAAAGGAAATAAAGGAAGTCGGCCATAACTTCACTCGTCCCAGCAACCCGTCTCGTCACTTGTCCTCCATCCTTCTTTCACTTTCGTTCCTGTTATCGTGCAATTGCGAACACAACTGATCGTGAAATAAAGACTAGCACTTCCTTGAACACTTTTCTAGATGGCTTTCTTAATGTCAAATCTTCGATTTTAGAGGTTTTTTTCTTAGCTGGTCGCAATCAAGTTCACAATCTGAAGTTTAGATTCATCAGGTTTGTTATTTTCTCCTTCTTTGACTTCATATATTTCTATTTTACCCTTCTTTGGCTTCCTATATTTTTGTAATCCAAGTAAATCTCGTTTTTTCTGATATATTTGATATGATTATGTCATGGACTCCATGTGTTCGATAAATTACCTCAATGAAAAAATAGTTAATAATATTTAATTTTTTAATTTCTCTCCAACAAGAAATCTGATGCCTTTTGCTCCAACCAGAACTTCGAAAAATTAACAATGTAATTTTTATGTACAAAGCAATTTGGTAATTACCACAAAATTTTGATTATGAGCGTATTTGACAGCAATTCTATCGGATTGGAAGATCAAGATTTAATTTTTTCATAATGGAATCTCAATTTTATGGCATGGAATCTCAAATTACTAGTTAGTATTTGAAGGTATACACTTTTTTTTTTTTGTAAATTTAGTCACATTCATGTATTTATTAATTACATATGTTGTATGTTTCATCAAATGGAGTATAAAGATATGAGCATCTGATTATGCCCGCCAAATGTTTGAATAAGATATTTCATCCAATTTTATTTTGTAATCTTTGAATCACGACTTTTTTAGTCCAAACCACAACTTTTTTAGATTGGTAGTCCTTTTGAGCTAGTTTCGTTGCGTTTTTGGTCTCTGTGAATAGTAAAATGACTGTAATACCCTTAGGATATTTATTTTCCATTTATAAATTCATTTTTTGCCAATTTAATAATTATTTATTCATTTTAATTATTAAAAAAATAAGAGGATCCACCTCTCTCTCTCCCTCTCTACAAACTCCACCCTATCTTCCTTCTTCATTTACGACCAAGAACTCCCCACCGGAGTTAGAGTCATTTTCCGGTCACCAAGACATTCGGGGTTACCTACTGTCACCGCCTTTTCTATTCAAATCACTTCAAAAATCCCTAAATCACATTCATATCGGGTTGAAGATGTCTAGACAACATTTCATCAAGAAGCTTCATTGCTTCAGTAACCCCACCGTCAAAAATGGTGACCTCGATCAAAATTGTGTAAGTAATCACCATACGCTTACAGTTATCCTCCAGTAGCTTATCCTCCGGTTGGCTGAATCGATTTGATTCAACTTACAAAACCCGCAGAAGTAGACCCAATTTTCAGATCAATCACTTCCAACATTAACTTAATCTAAATCTCTATCGATGGAAGATGCTTGGGGTGCCGAAAGGGATTTTTAGACAGTGGAGATGGCAGCAGTAGAGGAGGCTGAAGACCACAATGGAGATGGCAGCGGTAGAGGAGGGTCGATGTTGTTTATGTTGGGGTAGCGGGAGCATATGGAACCTCCATGAGCAACATCGTCATCATTGAACCACCACATAACACCATAGAACACCCATAGCGACTTCCTCCTCCTCCTTCTCCGATGACATCCTTTGCAAAAATCCTAATGCAACCTCCCTTATAGGGTTATCTTTGAGAACGTAATCCACCTGAGGCGGTGGGCGAATGTTAAGTAACCGGAGTAGACAGAGAGGAGGAAAGAGATGATGGTGGATTTCAGATTCATACACAAACACATCGATTTCGAAAACGAAAACATACGCATACAAATTGATTTATAAGCATTGTGTTTGTTCTTGAGCACTATGTGTTCCTGAGCACTTGTTCTTAGCACTGTGTGTGTTTAGAATTAAAAACCAAAAAAAATATGGAGAGATTGAGAATAGGTGTGCGTGAGTGTATTAACATGTGGAGAGAGAGGGGGGGGGTCCTCTGTTATTTTTTAAATTGTTAAAATGAATAAATAAATATTAAATTTTAAAAAATGAAAAATAAATACCACAAGGGTATTATAGTCATTTCAATTTTTGGAGGGTCTATTTTCACATACAAACCACTTCAAAAGGACCATGAATTCAAAAAAACTCGAGGTTTGGAATAAAACCCCAAAAATTTGCATACCATAGGGATCATTTTTACAATTTTATCTATTTAATATATATATATTCAAAAACGAACTTTATACATTTTTAAATGAAAGTATCTATTATATATTTATTTCGCATATTCAAACAAAAATACATGTTTATATATATATATATATATATATATATATATATATATATATATATATATATATATATTCAAATGTTTTTAGAAAGAGAGAAAAGTTAGGCATTAGGTTCAAATGTTTTTAGAATGAAAGAAAAGTTAAGGGAGTTACCAGACCAATCCTTTGAAAGTAAGGACCATATCATATGTTTTTAAACCACAGTTCAGATTTTGGAAATCCTGACCATTATTGATGTTTTTTCTTAGGGGGTGTTTGGGGTATTTTTTCAAAAAAGAACCTTTAGAAGAAGTTCTGACTTTTCCAAAAAATCAGTTTTCACACTTTAAAAAAATCCAAAAGAGCTTTCAAGAAACTTTTTCCAAACATCTTTTGCATGTTATTTTTTCCTAAAACTTCTTTTCCCTTTCAAAAAATATCCCAAACACCCCCTTATTTTTTCCCAAAACTTCTTTTCCCCTTCAAAAAATATCCCAAACACCCCCTTATTCAGATCAAAAAACGCTGTATACGGCGTTCGGCGGTATAAACAGTCGAGGATCCGTCTACCTCAAATCCATAGACCGAGAAGGAAAAAGCCATAAACTTGAATAGGAAAAAACTGAGGCTGCCATGACTACACTTCCTCTTGGAGATGACAAACGCCCGATTACAACGATTCTCATTTTCGCTGGTAATCCCTAGTTTCTCTCCACCTCCATGCCTGTCCTTTATCTTATTATAACATCGATTGAATGGATATGAACGGCAGCCATGGATTCAGAAGCGCTTCCGGTTGTCGAACACTTCAAACTTTCACGAGATGATGGTACTTTGTGAGTTTCTCTGTTTCTCGGCCGAATCCTTCTGAATCAATAAATGTATGTTGCTTTGACGCTCACCATCTACTTCCTAGTTTGAAGTTTGAACTCCGATTTGCTAACTGTTTGAAAGGTTTTATGATCCTTTTCACTTTCCCCTCAGGATCTCATCCAATTACTTTATCATTTTTGAATTTTAGTACTTGCAAATTGATTTTAATCGACTGCAGCGTTCCTTATTTGTTCTTCATTCCAATTTCAGTCGATCAAACCATGGGAACTCTTTAACCATTTCTGTTTGATACTGTTGATGATCAATGGACTCTAGATTATGAATCTAAATTACACTTGATAAATCATTGGTATAACTATAAAACTATTTCAGGTTTCCATTAAATGTCCCTTGGATCAGATATCATGGTTGCTACAAGGATCTTAATCTAAATGTCATTTATCCAGGGAAAGACCCCGACTTTGGTTTGTGTTTACTTTCCTATTTCGTTTCTTGTTTCAACTGCTTTCTTTCATAAATCTCAGCACACCATTCATAACACAGACATAGATGAGTATGAAATTACTAAAATACCCTTTTTATACCTTCCTCCTTCTCAGGGATCAATAGTGTAGGCACAGTTCCTGCATCTCTTGTGACTTATGCTTCTATTCAAGCACTGAAGCCTGATCTTTTAATAAATGCTGGCACTGCTGGTGGCTTTAAAGTAAAAAAAAATTTGCCTTTGTTTTATATTTTGTAATTTAGATTGTTTATTACATCTACAAATTTGCTTCATTTTTTTTTATCAGGTGAAAGGAGCATGCATATTTGATGTGTACCTAGTATCAGATCTTGCATTTCATGATAGACGGATTCCCATTCCAGTAATTGTTTATTAAACATGTTGATTAATGTAATAAAATCTTTAATGTAATAATGTTTTTAATGTTTCATGTTTGTCTTTTTTTTGTAATCACAGGGTCCTGATAGATATGGAATTGGCTTACGAAAGAGTTTCCCCACACCAAATCTTGTGAAAGAGCTTAATCTAAAAGTAACAATCTACCAAATTCTTTGAAAAATAAGGTCAAATAATTTTCATTTTGTTTTCTAAACACATTTAATATCTTAAAATATATAAAAATCTCACAGGTTTGTAAATTATCTACGGGAGATTCATTAGACATGTCTCCACAAGATGAAAAATGTATCTTCGCCAATGATGCAATAATTGTAGATATGGAGGTACATCATTTCATTAATTCATTCCGACCATTTTTTGTTTTATAATGTTTGTCACGTTTTTTTAACACCTAATGTTTTATCATTTTGGATTTCAGGGAGCAGCTTTGGCTTACGTGTCTAGTCTCATGAAAGTCCCTTCAATATTTATAAAAGGTGTATCAAATTTTGTTGATGGTGAAAAATCGATTCATGAAGAATTTAAAGAGAATTTACAAGCAACTGTTGTGGAAATTCGTGATGTAGTTGCGCGTGTTGTTGAATTTATTAATGGTAAATGTCTTTATGAACTATGATTGGTTGATCGTTTTGTTTAGATATTGATTGATAAGCCAATTTGTTTAAACTGATTTGTAATTTGTAATATTTGGATATTTTGGTTTTAAATTTAAATTGCTTTGTAAGAGATTATGTGGTTACTAGGTTATTCTCACCATAGATGGAATGGCTTAATGAATCAACTACTTATATTAAGTCTAGAAGGGAAAATAATAGTTTTGGGGCTTCTGATGGCTAAACAACTATAAAATCTTATGAGTTAAAGAAAATCATTGTTATTATTATTATTTTCTACAAGCTAGCTGAATAAAACGGGTTTTTACAAATGAAAAACCGATATTTCACTTTTTTTTTTTCTTCAAATTTGCTATATAATTTTTGTGGATCATATGTAGTTTTGAAGAGATCATATTTGCATTCGATTTAATAATTATCTTATGAATTTATAATATTTGCATTCGATTTAAATTATATTTTCTTAAATATTGTTTTTTTTGTCGCACCGAGGTATTATGTGATATTGCTCCGATAGAAGCAACGGTAACCATACAATTCTTATTACTGTTTTTAACCGCCAAAAACGATGCTCTTCGCCGGAGTTCCTCTAGTCGGCGGCGACCAACTCCTCCTCCACTGTAGGAGCCATAGACTACTCTTCCACACCTTCAAACCGATCGTAATTAGTCCCTTCATAGTTCGATCATCCGCTTCAAGCATAAAAGAACTCGACACTTCATCATCATCGGAGGCGGAAGATGACCGGAAATTGAGTTCCACGCTTAGCGGTTCAGTCTCCTTCCCTCCGGTTAAGGTCGCAAAGCGAGTGGTTTTAGTGAGGCACGGACAAAGCACGTGGAATGCAGAAGGTAGGATCCAAGGGAGCTCCGATTTCTCGATTCTTACTCAGAAAGGAGAGGCTCAAGCCGAGACTTCCCGCCAAATGCTTATCGATGACTCATTTGATATATGCTTCTCCAGGTTTTTATGTTCTTTGATTTGGTTTCGCATGATAGGTTAATGAAATTAGGGTTTGGAATTATAAAACGATACTCGTGTGGTTACAAAATTAGAATTACATTCTCATTATGACAGCAATTAGTGTAAACCTTAGACTTAAATATCAGTTTGAATTCAGATTGTGATTCCACAAACAGTAGATTCAGATTTATGAAACGAACATTTCATACTTGCAGTCCCTTGAGAAGATCAAAAAGAACTGCTGAAGTCATATGGGGTTCTCGACAAGAGGAAATCCTCACTGATTCAGACTTGAGGGAGATTGACCTATACTCATTTCAAGTTAGTTTCACTTCTCACGAGCATCTTTCTTTCAAGATTAGATCAGTATCATAGAATTCTTTTCTGTACTCCAGGGTCTCCTAAAGCACGAAGGCATATCAAAATATGGTGAAGCTTTTGCTCAATGGCAAAAAGACGCTCCAAATTTCAACATAGATGGTCACTATCCCGTTAGAGAATTATGGGATCGTGCTTCAAACTGCTGGAACAAAATCTTAATCCATGACAGCAGATCTGTTCTTGTGGTTGCTCATAATGCTGTTAATCAAGCTCTTGTTGCTACAGCAATGGGTACATGTTCTTATGTTCTTCCTCATTCATGTATTTCAATTTCTATAACTCTACATCATAAGCTTACAAAAATTCTTGTTTATGTAATAATCTTCAGGTTTAGGAACAGAGTACTTCAGAATTTTACTTCAAAGCAACTGTGGTGTAAGTGTGCTGGATTTTGTCCCACAACCTGAAGGTGGATCTCCATATATTTGTCTTAACAGATTAAATCAAACTCCAAGCTCCCCCATTGCTTCCGGAAGCTCTGCAGGAAGGAAAGCTAGTAACCGAATTGTACTTGTCTGCCATGGAATCCCTGAGGTAATATTAATTTTAATAAATAAATCAATCAATCTGTGAAAATATTTTTAGTTTGTTTTCTAATTCTCCCTAATTTGGTTTTCTTGAGATTTTCTTAACAGGGTAGTGATTCTGAATCTGATAACAGTGACATGCCTATGGACATGCTTGGAACTATACAGGTTTTCTTGTAATCTGATAATATGCTAAAGGGTATTATGGTAATTATGGTCTGATTAATACGTTGTTTTATACAAATGGTAGTCACAAAAAACAGCAGAGTTGCTTCTTGATTTGAAGGTGAAATCAATAGTGAGCAGCCCTAGAATCGCGCCAACTGAAACCGCTAATGCAATCGCTCGTGTAAGTCTTTATAGGGGCATTTGCGTCTTTTTGTATATAGATTAGTCTGAATGGGAAAATGCACGTGATTGAAGGTTCAAGAAGCTGCTGATTGTTTAGGTGCTGATTGTGTGCCAAGATATGTGGAAACGAAGCAGATGAAAGAACTTGACATTCAAGACATTCTTAATCGTTCAAAAAAGGCAAGTAAATTGCAAGAATTAGTTTATTTCTTCCTATTACAAACATTTATTATTATTTTTCTTTAACAGAAATCGATTAAGGCATCAAGTCTAGAATCGGGGTGTGTGAATGAAATTGAAGAGGGATTATTGAGGGAAATATGGGAGAAATCAGGGATAGCGTGGAAATCGGTGTTGGATGAGTTATGTAAGGAATCTGAATCAGAAAACGTCGTCGTAGCAGTTGGAGATCCGATTGTTAACATCGGGTTATTAGGTCATTGCTTAAACCTAACGAACGAGTGGATGGGATCGTTTCATCTGGACGCCGGTAGCATTAGCGTCATCGATTTCCCCGATGGCACCGCCGGAAGAGGCGTTGTCCGGTGCATAAACTACACCGCTCATCTTGGACGGTGGTCGATCCCCATTACTCGACCTACGCAAGACGATGAAGAATTCTAGGCTCGATATTCGATAATATTTGTAAATGCGAAGAAAATATTGTTCTAGTGAAAATGAAGCCACTGTAAAATCGAAAAGTTTTTTTTTTTTTTTTTTTTTTTAATTGTCCAAAGATGTTGTTGTCATTAAAGTATGAAACGTCCATATCATCCATTCATCCAATACGACATGAGAGTGAAAGGGCATATAAAAAATGTTATTGTCACCCCCACATTAACGTTCCGATGTGTCAAGGTTAACACTTTGTGTCTTTGATGTTCTTTCAAATCTTTTTCTAAATGCGAACAATCTAAAATTGCGAATCCACATGTTTCAAAGAAGCTTCAAGAGCTTATCCATTCAAAATATCTTTCCATTTTAGATAATCATGGTGCAATGATACCATTCCATTTCTTTGGAGCAATTAGATATAAATTTGAAGTGGGGTTGGAAATGTTACCCCAGAAAAAACACTAATCTAGCAGCCAATTTTAAGCAAAGATAATTACAACCAAAATACACATATTATTCTAATTAAATACACGGAATACACCATTATATCTTGTGCATTGAAAATTGTAATTATTCCGAACCGGTCCATCTTGGTTCATTCAAGAATCCACAAGAGTTCCTCATACAATAATCAAATCTCAAAAAAAAGAAAGCCACACATAAAACTAGAACACATAGACTTCACATAATAAAATTTCTTAATTCTTCCAATTTAGAAAACCTCTAAATCGTTTCAAATTGTCAAATACTCATGCACACCGGCTACTGTGGGGTCTTGAAAGCAACAACCGGGAAATCAAGAAGCACAATCTTTTCGATTGCGGCTGAAAATGTGGCCGAGAATTGCATGTGATTTGGGTGGGTTTGGAAAGCAGTGAAATCATCTTTGGAGCCAAATGTCATCATGAAAGCATGTGTGAATCCTTGCCTTAACATCTCCATACTTTCAATATCCTTTCCCCTGTTACATCAAGTACAATAAGGTTTGTTAGGATTATTTGGAAAACTAGTTTAAACTTAGTTTCTAACTGAAAAACTAGTAGTTGAAAAGTTAGTTTCTAAGAGTTTAAGTCATTAAAGCTGTGGATGTGTGAATGCATAAAGGGTCATTTGATCCACTTAATCCATTAAGACATGATTGTAGTTGAAAAAACTAGTTTCTAAGAGTTTAAGTCATTAAGGCTTTGGATATGTGAATGCATAAAGGGTCATTCGATCCACTTAATCCATTAAGACATGATTCATGTATAAAAAAATGACGTTTGTAAAAATAGTTGAAAAACTAGTTTCTAAAAGTTTAAGTCATTAAGGCTATGGATGTGTGAATGCATAAAGGGTCATTTGATCCACTTAATCCATTAAGACATGATTCATGTATTCACTTAAAAAGAAACATATCTATATCTATATCAATTAAGTCGTAAAACGAAAAAGAAAGAGTTTCTTCATTGTATTTAATGCATTAAGAGTTGTATATCAGTAGACTAACCAAACAAAGGATTTAACAATATCAACTTGAGAAACAAGCTCCTCCAACCCTTTGATAATATCCTCCACCACCACCTCTTCCTTGAACTTAACCACCACCAAGTGTGTGAACTCCGCCATCTGCCACCGCAATCCACCACCACTATGTGTGTTTGAGTATATATAAACACACAAACTCAGGCTCCTACATATACCATGTGACACACACACTGACACACACATATGAAGGTTGAATTATTCTTTGTGTGTACAACACCCAATGCACGAAAAGTAAATGTACAAGTGGGCACGGCACCTCAATTCACGACCCACAAGTCAGCACTTCCGTCGCTGCGTCCCTACAGTCAACCCACCGACACCATTGTCGGAATCATGACAAAATTTCAATGGGGGGATATCTCTGGCTAGATATGTTTTATTTTCTTGTACTTTATGCTTTACTACTTGTACAATCTTGACTTGGTCAATCTCTATTTGTACCTGGTTCATACACCAACTCGTTCTCATTAACCGATTAACGGGAATATAAACATAATTAATGCTTTCATAATTTTTAACTTTGAATAAGAAAAATGAATTTTCTGTTTTTAAAATCAGTTCTTAATTAGTCTTTTTCATATTTAGGTAGATGATTCACAAGAGTATCAACAATGGTAGAATCAACCCTAGACCTATGTTATTAATAAGAATTTTTGCCACACTAACCTCTAATTTGATGTGGTAACCTCTTTCACCATTTTTTTTTTTATAATTTTAACTAATTTACTTTCGACTATCTAAAATATTTAAACATCTCATAATTAAATTTGTAGTTTTTTAAATACATATCTTATTTGAAAATATTTTATTAAAAAAATATTACTACGCAGTAATATTTGGGATATTAACTAAAATAACTCTTATTGACAAGGAAATTAACAAAAATATATATATTTTTTATTTTATAATTTACAAAAATAACTTTTGTTTTTCAAAAGACCACATTCTAGACTAATTATATTTGTTCTACAGTTAGTGTTAGTTGGTAAGATGTTACATTTATATTGGTGGTTGGTAAGATGTTACTTAGAGGCATTTTGGAATATGACAATGTTATTACACTCTGAACTAACACAAATACACTGAATGTACAAATATTCCAAAATGTTGTTATGGTGATGCAAAAATTATTCTTTCAATATCCATTCTTAGTCTATTTTGAAGATTTTTTTAGAAATTGTTAAGAGAATCTTGATATCTAGATTTGTATTATTGAAAACGAGTATTGTAATCATTTATCCATAGTACATGTTTGTAGTGAATGATAGTGATTAGTGGATGACAATGAGCACAAATTGACATTATATGCTTATATTGTTTCATATTACACATGTTATAATGTGGATTTAACCAACGATGTCAACTTCTTAGATTGGTTACGTTAGTTGTTTGAAGTAACAAAATATGTCTCTGATCAAACATAGTTATACAGTTTAATAACAACAATGATGTCAAAAATTTCTCAGTATTGTCAGTAATATGTAATATAGTTGTTTGTTGTTAATCATGATCTGGAAAATAGTGTTAATCAATTTGCAAAGGAAAATCATTATGGTGGCAATAGGTAATATGGTACCGAAAGTAACCAAATATGTAATTTATAACCATTGAAACTAAATCAAATTCATTGTTAGGATTGGTTTGTATATGAGGATGATCTTAGGTTAAAGGTAAACTTGTTGGTGATGATGGTCAACATTTGACGGTGATGAATCGATAATTAATCAGGCAAAATTAATGAGGTTAGATGATGATGCGAACTTACTTCCATACGGAAACATGGTGGAAAAAACTAGTGTTTTTTTAGAATATGATGATATGACATTAAATCTAATGACGAGGAAACTAATCCCCAAAAAACGACGGAAGGATAATTACCCATATTAGTTTTCTAATTTTGAAGAAACAAATAATCCTTATTTGGAATGCCTAATTGTTACTGTTGCTGAATTGTCAACAGAAAAACATTAAGTTTCACTAGCCCACAGATCTTCTTCACATATCAAGTTGTTACAATTATGCAAAACCAAAAAAGATCTAAAACTAGTATTAAGAATGAAATGTGTTGATGAGAGACATCGTATTAAAGTAGTCAGATATTCAATATAATAGAGGTTTGAAGTAGTTTTCTTTGTTAAAGATTGTAAATGGTAACTAAGAGCTATAAAAGATAAGATTATGTCAACTTTTCAAGTCATAAATTAGTGGAAAACCACACTTGCTTAAACACCCAATGCATGCCGATAATCACCAAACCAACAAGTGTTTGGTTACTTCTAGAAAAATATATTAGTTGATAGTACATGAAATATGTCGTGGGGAAAGCAAATTCAACGAACTCTAAATGGCCGTTTTAATGTTCATATTTCCTACTAGCAAACATTAAGGTTGACATTGTATGCTCTGGATCTATTTAGTGAACTATAAATGACCGATCTTGATAACTTGATTCTATTCAACCAATTAAACAAAAAGTTACAGGATAGTCTTTAAACAAGTGTTGTAAATATCTGTTTAGGCGGCCGCCTAGGCGCTAGGCGGTCTGTAATTGATTACGATTTGGGGTGCTTGGCAAAAATTGGTCGATATCGGTCAAACTCGGGCTTTGTGCTCCTCGACACCCCTTGGTGCTCCTAGGCGGGATTATTTTTCAAAATTCAAATTTTCAAAATTTCAAATATTACACCAAAATTTCAAAATTTTTAATTTTTAAATATTTAAATATTATAACAAATATTTAAAAATTTTAAATTTTCAAATACTAATTTTCTTATGATATATTAAGTTTTAAAATAGTTTTATTAATAATGTAGGGTCCCCGATTAATCACTGCCTAACCGATCAATCGTTTGATCCCAGTCAACCGTCGAACAATTTTTACAACTTTGCTTTAAACAAACAAATTACAACACGTCAAAAAACTAAAAATGTGGTAAATCAGTAGTCTCTATTGTCAACTAGTAGATAATAGTGTATGGTCTTAACCCATAAAAAATAACAGGTCGAGTCGATCAAGGTAACTCCCCCATCCCAAATAAGCAACATCAACCATGCCGGATTACTTGAATCAAATTTATCTACACTCATCCAAAGAGTAACCTCAAAGAAATATACTCTGATAATGATAAAACAATATCCTGGAAATCAGGGAAAATACTTTATTATATTAAAGGGTATTACCCTTATTACCATAAGACAATATAACTACCTAGGAAACATGAGAAACCAAGGGTTTTCCTTGCACATCTAAATACCTCGACCGACCCTGGTAAAAGAAGGTATCATTTACTCCTTTTAAAAAGTTTTTTACTACGATACAAAGTGATAACTATATTCGATAATAACTTAGCATTCGAGAGCATTATCGGGGCTCTCTCTAGTAATGATCTTAACCTAGTTCTCAATCTATTTTGTAGATATAACTTTCCATCATTATTATTTAGGGAGGTCCTACTCCCATTCAACTAGCTACCCAAAAACCTATGTTACATCAATAGACAACCGCAAAGCAACACACTCATAGTGAGTAGGTTGTAATCTCTCGATCAGACGATTATCCACCTAATCATAAATAAAATTTTATGATATGGAAAATGGTAAACTAACATGTATAACATGGAAACATCAATCACAAGCACACATTCCACCAACCCTAAATGTCAGCCTCGACAATGTAATCATCGGAGGGATCATACATGGTATTGGTTTACAAAGCACCCTACAATATGCAAATGTCTCCATTATACAAATATACAAAAGTAAGATGTCAAATTAGTAGCAAACATAATTAAGTTATATATATATATATATATATATATATATATATATATATATATATATATATATATATATATATATATATATATTTATGCAAGAGAGAGAGAGAGAATTTTCACCTAAAAATGCATGCACGGTATATGAGTATCTATGGTTGGTTCTTCGACAAGTAGGGTTCAGATGCTCCTCGATTTTATCAACCACGATAGACTGATGAATTAGGTGTCTAAGCTCATAACTATAAATGGTATATACTTGAATTGATAGAAGCACAAGTCCTTTTGGGTTGCATTTACTCTTGCAACTTGACAAGATGACTTTTGGAGAAAAGTTGGATTTATTGTTTGGAATAATAAATTCATATAAATGATTTATTAATATGTTATGAAAATAATATATTAATTGGAAATCATGTTGTTTAATTAATATTTAATCAGAAATTAATTTAGAATTAATTTTGGGATTAAAGGAATTAATTAAAAGTACAAGGGTTGTTTTGCAAATCATTGATAGTTATGAAACTGGGCTCTTGGAATCCTTGGATAGGAGCGGACAAAAAGTAGGGTTTCCACCTGCAAACCCTAGCTTTGGACTAAGTAACCACAAGTATATAAGGAGCCTAACCCTTATGATTTTCTCCCCCCCCCCCCCCCCCCTCCCCCTCCCCCTCCAATGTTTCTAACCCTAGAAGAGCCGAATTTCTAAGATTATTCCCTCCTCTCTCATTCTCATCCTCTTGCAAAGAGTGTTTGTAAGCCATTAGAGGTACCACATTTGAGGCACTTGCTTTCAAGAGCTTAAGATCTACAAAGTTTTCTTATTATTACTATATAACAAGTAAGGTACACATCTAAACCCTTTTATTTGCAAAATTTCAATTATATAGATGTCATTAGGGTTTTCTATTTGATATTCAAGTTTGCATGTTCAACTAGTGAAAACTTAGATCCTTAATCTTAGGGTTGCATGAACACATAAGATTTGTAGTTATGCTGATAACCCATCAGTGGTATAAGAGCCTTGGATGTTTTTTAGTTGAACTTTATGCAATTGTGAATCATTCAAAGAAGAAGGGAGCAGAATCGTCATTTTGTTCATAGAACTCGACGAGTTCATGTTTGGAACTCGAAAAGGTGGTCCAACTCGACGAGTGCATTACACAGACGCGACGAGTTGGCTAGTCAGATTCCTGGATTTTTGATTTTGATAATCTTTGCTTGATTAAGATAAGTACCTTAATTCATTTTTCTGCCTAAACTTGAATTTTTATTAAACGTAATTGTATATCCTTGTCAAATTTAATGATCTGGTTTAATTTTTGATAAAGATAAAATTAATGGTTAATTTAATTATTAAAAATTTAATCTAGTATTTTTGAAAAGTTATAATAATACACCCTTTGGTTTTATAATTTAAAATTTAATTAAATAGTTTAATTTTGAAATCTTAAATTTAAGAACCCTACTATTTTAAAAGGTTTAAAGTACACCATTATGGATGTTATTAATAATTTAATTAAGTGTTTAATTAAAAGATAATTAATAAATCCATAAAAGGTTTAAATTTAATCAAAT